AGAAAAGTTTTGATAACGCACACCCAAAGCGATAATATTATAATGGCCGAGATTTTTATGCTGGCTGCTTCTCCATTGGTGTTTTAATACATATCTATGATATGTACCGTATATTGTACATCATATATATTTATCATGTATAGTGTATTTTATGCTCCCGTAGGCAGACTTTGGCCTCCCCACAGCAATCTTTGATCCTCTTAAAAGACTTTGAACTTCTTCCATCGTTCAGCTTTGTTCAAATTATACATTTGTACCAAACCTGGCCAGGGTGTGCTTTGTATTGAACAGTAGGCTACTTGTGCCCGCATCAAAGTTAGTTCGCCATTTTGGCCATGTATCTAGAATCTGCGTTTGTTGCCACAAAAATGGCAAAAGTTGCCCAAAAAGTTGATATTTATTTTCAAGCTTTCAACTCTCTGTGACCACGTACATGTAAACAGCAATGTCTAAAACACCAGAATTTCTTGTCCTCTGCTTCTTTAAGTAAGCATCCAGAACATCATTTGTAGCCACACTTAGTGTAAAAACGTGAAAAAATAAAGGTTCCACAACAGAAGGAAATTAATATCGGAACAATAAAATAAACAACCTCAAAAATGAACAAATAAGGGCATGTGTCCACCTATCCGAAGATGGTCGTTTTAACCTTAAACGTGTGTAACTCAAGAAAAAGTAAAAGATATAACACGTAAATTATAATGGAATCACACTCAAGGGGTCTGCCAGAGTCAGTACGTGTATTCAGTTTTTGGTGGAGACACGCTCTAACATAACACATTAAAAAAGGGTAGGAACAACATTAGCAATATAAACACACAAAAAATAGAAAAACTGCACATCAGAACAATAACGAGAAAAAAGTACACATCAACAAATTAAAACACAGCAAAGAGGGAAACACGAAAGAGAAACAGCAATATAAATAGTACATAATGTAGCCTACTATTACTATATTCTTCACATTAAAATAACAAATAACGTGGTGTTAACAAGTGACAAAGATACGAAGTGAAGCGAAAACACAGAATTCTACACTAAGTGTAGAATTCTGTGAGCGAAAATGAAAATAAACTTTCTTTCTAAAAGTAAAGAGGTTTGGTTTCTTTTTTTTTTTCTCGACGAATAATGTTCCCTGTTCTTGTCGTTTTAAAATTATTTTTTTCTTCCCGGCGGTGGTGGGCTGTTGTTGTTTTTTTTGTGGGTATGTTTTTGTGTTGTTTTTTTTTTTGAAAAAATGCAAAAATCGCGGCCGCGGCGACAAACACAGATGTTACTAGATATACAATGTATAGCTAAACCGCATGTCCTCCCTAAATTTTAGATCCCTGAAGGATTGTTTGATAGCGTCTTTAGCTACGGATTTATTTAAAAGCAAGCATCTTTTGTTTCCATGACTACCACTTTGAAATGGTTGCGTTTGGTTGACTCAGCTCTTTAATGTTCCTGTAGTCATCTGGTACCCTTGGGTGTCATTTTTGCTTGTATGTTTCCATATGTTCAAATGTCCTGTCACAAGGAAAGTACGTATGTCTACGTACCTGGAGTAGTTTTGTTCAACAAGAAACAGAAGGAAATACATTACTATTTTATTTTTGTTTTGTCCTTGGCACCCATCCCTTAACTGTATGTTTTTATGTTTTAATTTCATCTGTGTGAGAGAACTGAAATGTTATTCAGACAAGTTGCAGCTTCATTACAACCCCGACGATCAGAAAATCGAGGCCAAATATATATGATAACTTTGCCATTGCTCAAGTTATGAATTCCAATATTAATTATTATACGTCCAAAACTGCTTCATAGAAAATGTCTCCACTTGTAATCATCTGAGCCGGAAGATTTTACTGAAAGCCAAATGCAAAGCCTGCACTTTTATGATCTTATTTTGTCTTTTTGTTATCCCCACATGAAGCACATTGGAAATTCAACCCGTTTTGGACTTCATGTTCCCCTTTCAACATTATTTTGTCAGTATCGTCTGATGCTGCATTGATTGAAATATTCAACATGTTGCATAATGTAATCTGTACGAGATTACCCCTAAGAAAGATTATACTGCCAGTATAATTTGACAAAAGGTCTCTTTGATCTATTCTGTGAACAATACATTCTTTTTTTTTTGTTGCAGTCGCTGATTTATCCGGCACATCTCCACGAATTGACATAAGATGGTTTATTGAACGTTTTCGTCATTGTTTATATATTTTCGAAAGGCGTCATTATCGCGTCCGTAATAATATTCCATTGATCCAACACCACTATCAGTTGTGAGGGATGCCGTTTTTTTCGTTATTTATTAAATTTTGTCGTTATTTTGGGCATCGTCCGTTAATAGGTTTGTTTTATTGTTGAACTGATATGATATTGTTGTGTTGCCTTTATTGCTTCGTCGCATGCCAAATCCAAAGTGACTGCCAGGTCCCAGGAATTTGAACAAAATCGCCGAGACCGGGGAATGCCTCGGGAATTTGAGAAAATCTATTACAATGTACAATAATTGCCCCGGGAAAATACATTAAGTTCTCGAATATTTGAAAACCAAATCCGACAAGGTCGGAAAGTTCATTTTTGCTGGTCGCGTTTGCGATATTCGTTCGGCTTTTCCTGGTCTGAGAGTGAGAGTACGTTTCATACGAACAGGCGGCGATGGCGGCAGGCGGAAGGGTATGTATGACAACCAGGCTCGATCTAATAGGGAAAAAATCAAGATCTACTTTCGCTTTCATTATCACCCAGAAATTTGCCGGTGATAACATGTAAAATTGTAGACTACATGTTCACCCCCATCAACACAATTATTACGATAATTTGGTAGATAGGATGCTTCGACCCTGCCTGTCACTTCTCAGGGCTAATCCAGGCTGGAAGGAACACGATGTCCCAGCAGACAGAGGGCGATGCTCGATTTAAAAAACAACAAAACTTGCCCATAAGGAAATCAAACCCACATCTTTTGCGTGCGACACTTAAGTGTAAACTGCCAAATGCTACTCCACAAATGCTGGGGGGGGGGGGCTATTATAGTGGTTAAAATTGATATCTCAGTTGAAGACCAAGATATATATAACATGTACAAGACATCATGTACCATGAGCAGCCTGCTGTACAGGGAGCGAGCCGGTAGTTCAGCTGGTATCATGCTGCGCTGTGGTGTGGATAACCCTTAATTTATCAAATAAGCTTACTACAAATCTCAGCCCCGGGCGAAAAATGGGAGTGTTCTCAGTACTTCCCGTTTCTCACACACATTTTACACACATGCATTGCCTACGTCACTGCTCACCAATAAAACTTTATTGGCTACTAGTACTAGTAGGCCTAGTGTTCGTTTAGTCAGTGCAAAAATACGATCTCTTGATATTATGACAACTGAAACTGTAAAGAATTCCTGCTCTTACTTTAGAATTCGTCTGACGAGAGCCTGCATGGCATGATCATGGGGGAACTTGTATTGAACGGGTATCGTGGCAGGAAGGTGCTACAAGTAACATCAATCTGCAATTATTCAAACAACCCTATCACAGGGATTAACTCTCAAAATCACTCTCAGTAGTGACGTGCTTGTGTCAGTGCGCTTTGGTTAAAAAAAAAAAGTAAAGTACAGTCGAACCTGCCCTGACGGCCACATCTATAAGACGGCCACCTGTACAAACGGTCACTTTCCATTTCTCCCCTTGCGTTTTTTCTATATAATTTAACTGTGTAAAACGGGCACCTACCCAACGCGGCCGCGGCCACCATAATTTAACACACAACCCCTATCACACTAAGCAATAATACCTGTCTAAGACGGTCACTTTAGTGACTCCATTACG